CTGGCATGAAAAAAGGCAGAAGAACAAAGCAAAATCATTCACTGTTAGGAGTCTAGTACTTAAAATTTTGAGTAAATTATACAAATGACCCTTAAATTATAATTCTTGTGTCAATTAAATCACTGAATACATTTTCATGTCAACTGAGTTTCTAAACTCAAAAATTTTAGCAGTTAAGTCCCTAAACTAATTTGTGTCAATTATGCCCCTAAACTCTAAAATTTTAGCAATTAAGTCCTTATGTCAACCACGGTTAAGTTTTTGGACAAAATGTCTCATGTGCTCTCTATATGGACAACAAATTAGGGGTATTTTAGACGAGCAATACTATAGGGATCTAATTTGGAGATCTAATATGAGGACTTAATGATGTAGCTTTAATGCAATCATTAAATTAGTTGTGAGTTCTAATATTAGATAGAGCTCACTATTAATCTAATGATTATATTGAATTAAGTCTTCAGATTAAGTCCGATATGTGATTTTGAATTCAAAGGAAAAAGAGAATAAGAGATTTTTGACACCTCGTTTACTGTTCAAACCTTGGCAGGAAATGCTATTCATACAATAGTGGAAACAGGATACGCTAGAGGTGAATGTCGTGATAAAAGGTCTCTGGTCTCAAAAGTGTTGTCTACTGAATTAAATTGGATGGGCCAATGGGGAATCCAATTAGGACTTGTGGAAAGGACCGAAGATATTATGCATCAAGACTTGGTGTAGGACTTGAGTGCTTAGTCATTCCATATTTGATGGATTCTTTTTCTTTCTTAAAGAAAAAAATAAGTAAAAAAAAGATCTCAAATAAGGTCTAAATAACATTTTTTATTTTAAACTATTTGTTCAAAATATATCAAACGAAGAATCTCATTCCTCACACCCATCAACTCATACCCTAAACCCAAATCTAAACCTAAACTTAAACCTATTTTGTGCTGATCAAATGAAATGGATCAGTTCTTTGATCTAGTATAAAAAAACATATTATATAAATGGGGCTGTTCGATGGCAAGAAAAGTTACCAGCAACGTGGCCCTCTGACCCAGAAACGGTGCCCCATGTTCTTGCCGAACAATTGGTAGCCTTAATGGTTTTAATGATCTAGTTTTAAATCTTGATTTTTTTTTAATAATCTAGTTTTAAATAAATAGAGATTCCTCCTTTTTTTGGAAATTAGTTTCTGAAACCACTTGTAATGAATGCATATCTTGAGCCTGATGGGAGGGTAGTTGTAGTAAGTTAGGTTCACAAATTAGGTGGGTCAACTCAAATATAATGAGAGCCTTGAAGGATTTTGATAAAGACTTGTAATAAATGGTTCAAATGTAGACTAAAAAATCTTAACTCGATTTACATTTGGGCAATAATCAGATTTGGGCATCGAGTTCTTGTCCTCAATCTGAATGCAACTTGAATTAATACATTTAGATTCGATCGGAGTTGAATTAAAAAATGTGTAGTATAGATAAAAGCCCAATGTAATCCCAGTAAGTTTATAGCGCTTAGCCCAGACCAAAACATTCATGGAACAATGCTTCAAATTGTCCAAAAACAGGTTAGAAAAAATAATATCCCAACCCAGCCGAATAGAATGTACTTGCACGAAATTGGACAACCGGTGTATCGCCAGGTTCCTTCTGTTTCATCACCGGTCGATCGGTCGACTTACCGGTGCATCGATCATCCAAGTTGCTTTGACTATTTTAATATCTCAACATAAGCCAAGAGCTAGATTTTGTATCACACCACCTAATTGTATGAAACTAGCATGCATCCCGACTCCTAAGACTTTTATAAAATTTTAACAATTTTTGTTGCTTCTCAAAAAGCCACAAGAATGAAGTTAATGGAAAAAATGAATGGTGCGAGTTTGTCAAATACTTGACAAGTTGCTACATTAGCGGCGCATAAACCATGTTCATCAATTAAGTTTGGTCGATGGTCATAAACTAATTAACTAGTGGGGACAAACCGGACATACTGACTGACACGACACGCTTGCTTAAAATTAAATGCCACTATATTAACTTTAAGCGGCTATTCACACCATATATAGGCTCTTGTGGAAGTTGGTGATCAGCAAATCTGCAGTTTGCTGCCTCATTTAAGTTGAGGTTTGCGTACATTGATTCGAATACTTTTGATTGTTAAATCCAAAAAAATATTCCCTTCGTTCCTAAATATCAGTCGTTTTACACAATTTTTTTTGTTTCATAATATCTGTCATTTAATGAAACCAAAGCATAATTAATATTTTTTTTTCAAATTTACCCTTAACTTTTTAATGCATTAAATTAGGTGGAGGTTAAGTGTCTTTCATATTCCTTTCTGGGTATTTTAGTCTTGTGTAATTATTTTTTACTCATATTATAGCTATTTAATAGCTTCTTTAATCCCTGTGCATAAATCTTAAATGACAGATATTTAAAAACGGAGAGAGTAATAGTAATTTGAAACTAGCCTAGAGTTGCTATATGATTGTTTATTGTTGGAGAACATATTCAACGCAATGCAATGGTGAAATTATTACGTAATCTCACCGGTTAATAATAAGACAACATATGGTCAAAGAAAACCCACAAATTGTGTAATTATTCATCCATGTAAAATAATAACTACCCTAGGTGGTATCACTTTGAATATTTGCTCAATCCTTATACATGCATATTACCATAATTTAAAGTGATAATATTAACTTTAGATTGTATCAATAAATTATGTCGATAAATTAAGTATGAGTAACAATATTGCAAAAGTTATACATGGATTTTATTATTATCAAGTGCCATAATAATATCCTCAGAATATCCACTAAGAGTAATATGAAAAAAAGGGAATCTTAAAAATAGCAAGAACACAGCCAAAGCATTCACAATTTTCAATGGGTAAACTTCATCCACATTAGCTTGTAGTTATGCATATATTCAATGAAATTTCCAAAATCTTTTGAAATTTTACTGCACCACATTCTAGATTATACTATAGAATTACGTATGGCCCCTTCCACTAACAATCATCTTTGACAAGTAAAAAAATTAAAGATTTAACTTGATATTCTTTCAAAATGGCAAAGTTGCCTTTTTCTTTGTAAATAGACCAAAATGCTCATAAGCTAAATGAAACTCAAATGAAATGAATTTTTTTTCATTTCACTTCTACAAAGCCTATAAGTTGGCTTACTACAACGGTCATTGATGTATAGTTTTATGGTTTTGTTGGCTTAATCCACTAATTTTTGGTGAGAAAAACCTAATTTTCGGATAAATTTTCAATTTCTTGTTAATAATATTTTTAAATTTATGAAATTGTTAAAGTTATAACTGATAGAGTGTGGATATTATGCAATGAAGATTGATGTGGAGAATGATTGGGCTAAGCGTAGTTTCAGAAATGATCGACTATGCAGAAGGATACAACTATACATATATTATACATTAATATATTTTGTACTGCAAGGTTATTTTTTTATCATTTTTTAAAATTTTGCTTAAGAAGATAGATAAATAAAAAATACTAAATTTTTTAATGAAAAAATTATTACAAAAAACACATAGTAGAGTATGATTGAAATAAGCATTAGTATGGTAATTAAAAAAAGAGTAATGTTATAGGAATCTTATTTGGAGACCTAATGATGTGATTTTCATGCAATCATTGGATTAGTTGTGAATTTCAATGTTAAATGAAATCCACAACCAATCCAATGATAGTATTGAATTAGATTCCTACATTAGGTCCCCAAATTAGGTTCAAATAACATTTTTCTTAAATAAAAAATTAAAAAATGTGAAGAGAAGATTTCTCAAATTTTCTAGCTCCAAATTTATATATATATATATATATATATATATATATACTATATGATAAATGTACTTATATAATAAAATACAGTACAATTTAAATATCAAAAGATAAATAAAATGACTTTAATTTTTAGCGGTTGAAATCTTTTTAAATTTTATTTTAAAATTAATCTGACGGCTAATATCAATACCCCAAATTTAATAAGAAAAATAGACTCTTAAGAGTGTGTTTAAAGTAACTTTTTAAAAATTCTTCTAAAACTTACAATTTTTCATAAATACTTTTAAAAGAAAAATTAGTGTTTTGAACTACTTAAAATAAGAATCGGGACGGTGGGCAAAGTCGCCGGCAACGTGATTCTCTGACCGACAAACTGTGCCGGTCGGCCATGTTCGTGCAGAACAACTGGAACATTAATTAATGGCTTTAATACTTTAGTTTTAAATCTTGATTCCAAAATCACTTCAATAATGAGAAGTTTTTTTGTGTCTGACTTTCCTAGGGAAGTTGGAGACAGAGACAGAGTCCGAGACCGAGATGAACGCAGTAACCAATATAAATTACCTAATGAAAATATAATAAGATTTCCGGAGTTGATCCAAAAAAAGGTAAAATTGTAATACTACACTAATTTAGAAAAAAAAAATCACAAGAAAACCCAAAAACTAAATTGATGATACAAAAGTTGAGGAAATGAGAAATAATAAAGACACTAGAAGAACGAGTACTTACATATCTAATCGTATTTGTCGGGGAGAACATGATTTTACCGATCGAATTTGGTTACTTTCTATTTTTTCATTTTGGTTGGACCAGAAAAAAAAGTAAAATACACAAAAATACAAAGATCTGAATCCATTAAGAATAAACACCATTTTACAATACACACAACATTTCTGAAAGTCCTTTATTTTTTTTGGATGACTTTGTCGTCCTCTTCCCATGTATAAAAAAAAAACACATCAACACTTAATTTATTACTGTGGGTTGTATCAAACATTGGAATTTTGTGTTTATCCAATAATTCTAACAAAATAACGTCATTAGGTCAACAAATTATGTCAAATTTTTAAGTCTAAATTGCATTTTTCATCAAATAAACCCTATCATTTTATCAACTTGTTCACGAAATTACTTTTACAGCCCCACCCACATTTCTTTCTTGTTCCCATAAAAAAACAAAACAAGAAGTGAAATCAAACCTTGTTTGAAACAATCTCTTCTTCTTCTTCATTGCACACAACCAACCGTGTCCTCCCGGACTCCGGCGGAGCAACGGCCGGTGAAGAACAAGGCGAGGAATTCCCCGAGGCCATCAATGCTAGGCAACTCTCGCTCCACGCCCGTCTTATAGGGTAAGACACATTCCTATTTGGCGACACATGGGAGCAATGACCGCGCGATTTATGCAACGCGCAGCCACAATTCCGGTGGTAGGGTCGCCTTTGGATTCCTGTGTCGTGGCCGGAGATGCATCCTTCGAAAACTCCCCGGAGTAGTCCATCCCCAGCTGCTCCTGTGGCCATGTACCTTTGATGATGATCACCACCACCCCTTTTTTCTCTCTCCTAAATATGACAATTTTCCATCGCGAGAGTGGTGGGAGGGATGACATATATAGAGTGCCTGAATTGGAGCTAAATACTGCCAAGGAGACAAAGACAAAAGGGTGGTTGTGAACTTATTACTTTAGCGGCATATTTGGAACCATTGTTCCTTGGACATAACGTTGTACTAGCCGTGTTTTGCGGAGGATACTAGTCTCCTAGACCTAAATAAATGTTTTCCGTAAAAAAATGAAAATTAGAAGTAACGCTCCCTAATTGTACTTGTTTGAAGATAAATCAAGCAAAGAAACTTATAAGAGGATAAGTCTTTATTTAAAATTATATATAATGACTTAAGTTCATTTTTTTTTATCTCAAAAATATCATTCTTTGAAAGAATGTTAAATTAATTTTCTATTTTGGATATAATTATCCTTTAATTCAATTTCAATTAAAATATGTCAATAAAATCTCCATTATAAATTTATAATTCAAATTCAAAGCTCTCTCTCTTTCCGGCCAGCTAGTGGTGTTGTTTCATCAATGTTCATCTTTTAATTTTCTATGACTTATGTCATTTTTGTGGGTAACGGATGAGAATCTCTGGTCCTTGTTAATTTTTTGTTTTTTGTAATTTGTGATATTTTTCTTGGGGATTAATTTGTTAAATTGAATGTTTCATGTTATTATTTTTTTTATTATGTTACTGTTTTTGTTGAATTTATTACTATTCATGTTACTATTATTTTGAACATGTTACTATTTTCGTTGAACTTGTTACTACTATTATTTTCCTAAATATTAATATTCAATATTACTATTTTTTGCGTGAAATTGTGAGAAATAAATATTGTTAAGTATGTTACATTTTTGTTAAACATATTATTATTTTTGTTGAACATGTTAATATTTTTGTTGAACATGTTGCTATTGTTATTTTTTAAAAATATTTATATTGAATGTTTCAATTTTTTTTTATGTTTAAATGTTACTTTTCTTTTTGTGTTTAAATGTATTTTTTTTGTGTCCAAATGATAACTTTTTTTTGTATTTGAATGTTACTATTTTTATTTTTAATGTTACTATATATATAAGAGAAAATTTTAATGTTAGTCAAACTCCTAAGATTTAGGAATTTTTAATTTTTAGTTTTATTTCACTTCTAAAAGAAAGAGATAGTATGGTAAAATTGACAAAAAACAGAGTTCATAACAAATAAGTTTCTTTGACGGACTTAAGTCCAAACAAGTCCATATAAGGGGACCGACCTCCAAATTTCTCTAAAAAAAAATATTATTGGTGTACATATTGAAGCAAAATTTCGTGCGCACCCTTGGTGGATTCTCATATTTTCACAAATATCCTTAGCGTTATTTAAAACTTGACTAACAGCTTTTGACAGAGTTTATCGACTAATTGATGGATATAATAAAAATTACTATTATATGAATTTTCCCATGAAATATTTAGATAGTCACTAAACTAACCAACACTGTGTTATATATGTAGTAAGATATACATTTAAATTGGTTATCATTTCTTAAAAAATAAAGGCCCAATTTTAATTGTCTTATTTGTCAATTTAATTTTATTCAATTAACATTAGGTTGATATTGTATTCCACAATATTTAATAATAGAAGGGTAATCTTATAATATGGAAAACTTTGGTGATCCTTGTACTTTTAACATTGTTAATAGTGATCCATGAGGTATCTAAACCAAGATATGAGTTAGAAGGGGTGAAGTGAAGTGACATATGGCATAATACAAAGATGCATACACCGAGTGCATTTAGGTTTTTTTTTTATATATATTATACTAGTAATAACTCATGACTGAGAGAGTAAGACGGAGTATATGTGTTGTGTGAGAGAGAGAGAAAGCCAAAGAGTATAACATTCACGGAGTTACTAAGAAGATACTTTATAGTTTCAAACGTGAAGTGGAACTTTTCTTTTGGTGTTTAAGGATAACAAACTTTCTAAGTCTATATACTCTATTCAATGTCACACGTCTCTGCCTTTTGTCGGCTCTATTAACCTTTTCTAGGATGTATTTTTTCTGCAATTTTCTTAACACCACATCAATATCATCACACACGCATCTATTGTCCATGATCATGAGCTTCTGGATGACTTGCTCTTGTCCATACTTAGAGTTAATGGTGCTAGAAACTTCCTTTTTTTTTTTTTTTTCATTGGTACTGCCGTTTGGGTCACTAGGTGCCCAAACGGTGTTGGTATTGTAGTCACTCATGATTAATGACAATTCTTATCGCGACTCACAAATTTAGGAACATACAAATATATTTTTGTATATTGAATTCTCATATGTTCTGGTTTTTTACATAATGATGCAAATGAAGACCTAACTACAGTGCCGAGGGATGAGCCATACGACTTAGTTGACCAATATTCTTAGTATCATAACGGTATGCGCAACTTAAAATACTCTTAAATACACGAGTAATGCTATTGGGACATAATGATTTTGATCATTGGATTGTCAATATGTCTCGGTATTGAATGTACTCTAGTATCAATCCAATAACAACAATGCATTAAATCCTCAAATTATGTTCCTTAATTAATGATGTCCCAATAGGATTAGTGAAAGAAAAATGGTAGAAGCCAAGGTCTAACCCAGCCGTAGTAAGCACAAACTTTCTAGTATACAGTTCCGGGTTGTAGATAGGTCAATTTTAAACGGGTATTGGCCTAGTTGGATCGGCTTCCTTACTCCTCCCTCCCCTGCTGATATATTCTGAAGGGAGAGAGAGAGTTGGTGAATGATGTATGGGAAACTTATGGGCAAACATATTGGATATTTGGAATGAACTTTGAGAGGCTTGGTTGAGGAAAATATTGTGTGGTTTGTGAAGTTACGTCTGGAGAGGGAAGTAGAAACTTGTAACCAATAAAACCTGTGTTGAGAAGCAACCAAATAATGAGACATGCTTGGATGATATTTAGTTGAAAACATTAGCCACGTACATTTCAAACCTACTATACCAAACTACGATTGTTTTGATGCCTGAAAATTATAGACCAGGTAATTGGGTTACTCAGACAAGTTTCATAGGAGAAGTTCCATAATAGCTAGTAGGTATATGAAGAAACTTAACTTGAGACACATGTTTTATATACTGTGTTCACCAACGCTACCCCACATGTTTATATATTTAGATTTCAAAAAAAAAAAACCCTAAATCACATTCACATTCACATTCGGTGATAAAGTAAGGATACCAAACAGGTTGGGTTGGGTTGGGACTATCTTGCCTGATTGGCTAATCAACGGATTAAAAAGTTAAAACGATAAGAAATCAACAAATCAAATACAAAAATCAAAAGTTAACCCATTGACAATGACGGAAAAATTAGGAGAATGCTAATATAAGGGTTACATTGTAATACTTTTGATAAATTAAAGATAAAATATGAAAATTTTAATTTTTTGGATTACAAATCAAAAAATTTTAAATCTTTTTAAGGTGGAAAGTGTAATTCGCCTTTGGGCCTAACCGTATTGCGCCTTTGAGCTTAGAGAGGCAAAAACAACATGGGTCATTTGCAAGTCGGTATACCATATTAGAGATAATTATAAAAAAATACATAAAAAAAAATATTTTTGAAAGAAATACACTGCTGAGATACAAAGACGTAACTAGGGGTGTTAATCGAGCTGAATTCGAGCTTAAATCGAGTTGAATTTACACATAAACGAGTTGGCTCGTTTAACTATTTACACATAAACGAGCTTTAAAAAAAATTCAAGCTTGACTTGTTTAACAGCCCTAGACATAACTGCCGATTTTGTAAAAAAAAATTTCTAAAAACTATAACAAGGAATTTATCTTAACCGTTGAAATTTAGAGACATTTATTTTCTAATCTCTTCATCTTCGTAACTGCCTATTTCCTAAAATTTACTTTCCTAAAACGATTTTAGGAATATATCTTAATTAATTAGATACACAATTATAATAGTTAACCGCTGAAATTTAGAAATATTTATTCGCAAAACACTTCATCTTCAAAAAACGTTTGGGTTTCTTCTTTCTATCCAAAAATCACTTCATTTTCCTTAGCGATAAGCCCTAAAATTGTTCCCTAAACATCTATAGAGTTTCGTCGTTGAAAGAAAAATCATAATGTTAAGCCCATTTGATATAAGATCGTCAACAACAACTATTTTTTGAAGATTTGTTTGTCATTTGAAGATATGTACGAAGTTCAGCATTTGAATATTAGAATCAGTTGTTAAAAGTCGATCGTTGGCCTGTATAAAATACGATGTTTCTGTCATGTGTTCCTGCCATATTAATCCATTGTGTGTGAATAAATTGTGTATATCTCCTAACTGCTGATTGTGTTTTTCTCATAGTGTAATAATACACTGTAATAAATACAGTATTGAGTGATTTGCACATGTGGTAACAAATTTAAAACAGAGATGAATTCTTTGAATGAAATTATATGCAAATATATGTTTGATAAAATGTAATAGTACAATATTTTGTGTAAGTGTCTTGTTACACTGTTATGGTGTTCGTATATTAAAAAACAAAATAATCACATTTAAAATGACAGACATAAACCTAACGGCCTCGTTTGATAGATGTATAATGTGGAGATTAAATATTGAATTCTACTATTTTTTATTTAAGCGAACTTAATACTTTGTTTAGAAAACAAATTTAATGTCGTATTAATTTTAAAAACATATACTAATCGTATATTTTTTGTACACCTGTACTATGAAGGTATTTTAATACTACCAAAAGAGATGATATTATAATCTAACTCAAACCTATTATTCTATAGATTTACTATTATAACATTTCAACTGATAAAATTAAGTTGTCATCAATGTAACAAACATTGATTGAAGATATTTCTGTTAATTTAACATTAATACGATGAAATAATTCTCCAAACAAACAATCGATTGAATTAAATAACTATTATCCAATATT